TATAAATTGCATGATGCCATGGAGTGAGTTTACCAGAGGCACCAAATGTAATGGTAAAAAAGAAAAAGAAAAAAGAAAGAAAGATGAGAAAGATAAAGCAAGCACTACCTTTGAAGAGATTATTGGGGAGAGTCTTGTTGTTGTTATATTCAAATGCCTTCTTTTCATGTGTTTCAGTGTTTGGAACAGGACCAGATATGATCTGGGGTGGGTAAACCATTCCAGTTGCCAGTATATTCCAGGAGACTCTCCAAAAGAGTGTGATGATGCTTCCCCTAGGAGCTGTTGACGATGGAGAACACTGTCAGAATGAGAAAACCAACAGTCAGCTGGTTCCTCTGTGGGGTTAGTTCCTCACTGCAAAAACCCAGGGTCTCCACATAGGTGATCTCCCATTCAATTTATGTAAGAAAGGAAAGAACTTCAGACTGTGGCTTAACCAACAGGCCTTTATCGCTCACAGTTCTGAGGGCCGGGAAATCCAAGATCAAGGTGTTTGTTGATTCTGTTCCTGGTGAGGGCCCTCTTCCTGGCTTCTGGTAGCTGCCTTCTCCCTGTGTCCTCACATGGCAGAGAGAAAGGGCCCTGGTGTCTCTTCCTTTTTTTATAAAGGCACTGGTCCTATCAAATTAGGACCTACCCCCTGACCTTATTTAACCTTTGCCATCTCCTCACAGACCCAATCTCCAAATATAGTCATATTGGGAGATAGGGCTGCAACATGTGAATTTGGGGGAGGGGGACACAAACATTCAGTTGAAAATAAAGGATATTTAGGAGTGTTTGATATGTACACTTATTGGCAGATTATACAAATCTCCTAAGCCTCCCAGACTAGTGAGAAACAAGAAAATGTTTGACTCTGATATCCATTTAATGTCAGTGATAAGAAAACAAGGAAAACAGACTGTTTTGGGATTTGAGTACAGGACTGATTCCCATCTCCTTAATAGTAATGCTGTTTTCACGTCAAAGTTACTAAGTGCCTTTCATACTGGAATCTCAGAAATATGTGAAATACTTTAGGTTGAATTTATAACATCAAATCTTCCTGTCCAAATAGTAAAATACTTTTTTCTCCTTCATTTGATTGAAAACTGTAACAAAGCTTCTCTTTGTTTTTCCTTTCATTATATGGAACTACATAGAGGGATCCAAACTATTTGCTGCCTTTTTCCTAGAGATGGCTAAGCTGCATTAATAACTACAGGTACCTTCCAGTCTGCTCTGACTCACTGACAGACCTCCTCTCCCACACTCCCCGGACAGGGACAGAATCTAAATATCCAGCGAATTTGAGCCAAGTAAAATACATTTTCCCTTCCATTTAAAATGTCTTGGGACATTTGGACTGATGATAAAATATTTTAAAGGTATAGACATGGGACATGGTATATCGCCCTCTATTGTACACCTTCCCAAAGTCAGGGCTACCTTTGACAACTCGATTCCCCAAGTCCTATGCAACAGCCACAGGGCTGGA